TGCCCTCCCCCTCATTCCCATTGATAATGATTCTGTTTGCTTGTTTTGTTTTGTGTCTTTGATGTCTGATACCTGATCTCATTGACACCTGGGGGATGGGGCTTGATCAAGGGCACTGTAGCTGAAAGGAATTACCAAAACCTGAATGAAGGCTGAACATGATAGTGGGACAGGAGGAAAATAAAAAGAAATAGAGGAAAGAACTGGGAGGCAAAGGACATTTATAGAGGTCTAAATACCGGCATGTACATATATAAATGCATTTATATATAGTGATAGGGGAATAGATCTATGTATATATATTTATTTATAAAGTATTATGGTACCAGATGGACATTGGGCCTTCACTCAAGTACTCCCTTGATGCAAGAACAATTTGCTCTAATAATCCAGCTCTCTATGATGTTTTCCTTCCCTGACATGATTGCTGAAGACAAAATGTGTGCATAAGCAAATGTGGTAAAGAAAGTTAATGGTGTCTGGCTATCAAAAAAATTAGCATCTGGGGTCTTGATTAAAGTCTTGAAGATAAACAAGTGGCCGTCTATCTGAGAAGCAACAAAATCCACATGGAAGAAGCACACCAGCCTGTGTGATCATGAGGCCAGAATATTTTCAATTGCTTCATATGCACGTGACAGCTGGACAATGAATAAGGAAGACCAAAGAAGAACTGATGCCTTGGAATTATGATGCTGGTGAAGAATAATGAAAGTATCATGTATTGCCAAAAAAATCTGGCTTTAAAAAAGTATAGCCAGAATGTTCCTTAGAGGCAAGGAAAGTGAGTCTGCAGAGACCAGTCTCTGCAGAAGGACATCATGCTTGGTAAAGGCAAGGGGCAGCAAAATAGAGGAAGGCCCTCCAGGAGATGGATTCATACAATGACTCCAACAATGGGCTCAAACTTATGAACAGTTGTGAGGATGGTGTGGGGCCTGGCATGGTTTCATTCTGTTGTACATAGCGTCGTGATTAGTATGAACTGACTCAAATGTACCTAACACCTCCACCACCAGAAATGTTGTAGAGGAGAAGCCAACACTCTGTTAGGAGTAAAGCAAAGAAGTTTATTAAGAAATAGAACAGACCAAATATGGCAGCCTAAAAGTGACAAGACCCTACCCTCTGGTGAACTGGAGCCAGAGGATAGTTTAAATGCAGAAATATTAGACCCATTTCTGATGATCTGATATTTACGGATCTTTATGTAATCAGTCACAAGGTTGCCATAAAGCATCAGAAGTTTCCATTGACAGACCATACACATTTCAAAATAACTCCGTTTTCTTATCTGCAGCCATCTTGGGGCTGGTATGGATACATGTTTTACAAAATTAATTCTTCAGGGGTCCTGGGGTAAGCATTCCTTTTGAGAACCATTTGTGCAAGAAAGGGAGTGGGTGGCAAGTTTCCTGGAACAACTGATTCCCTTCACTACACTTTGGGCCTTATTTGCTAAGGACTTTTAAAGGTTTTCAAAAGGTTAGCTGTGGGTAAGAAGCTCTAATAGGACTAAGAAAAGAAGGGGGGCGGGGAATAGAGTCAATTAAAATGTAGTCTAATTTGAACCTGGATCTGCCAGTTTAGTTATGCAAAATGTCTCAGGTTTGGGGATTTGCTCACACAGTCTGAGTACCGGCTTCCTGTCTCCACCTAGTTCTAGTGTCTGCCAGTGGCAATCCCTAACTCTTTAAGCAGGGTCATATTCACTTGGGTAGGAGTCAGGACTTTTGGGAGGAGAATATGATTCAATCGATAACTAGTTGGAAGCAGACACCCTTTTCTTGACTTCATAAAACATAAGCAGAACTGGCCCTGCTACATCACACTAAAGTCTCACAGTTATATTCTCCTCAGTGCTTATTCTAATGGCTTACCCTTCATGCCGTGGCCTTCCCCTACTAGAATGGGAGCCAGCTCCTCGAAGTCTTGAGTTGACCCCAAGAACAAGCGAGAGGTCCGTGGCTTCTACCTTTTTGTTCTGGGGACCTTAGGAGTGCGTTCCCAGGCTAAGGGTATGCCTGGGTCAAGCTGACCAGGCTGCTGCTGGAGCCCCAAATCTGATAAGGTGAGACACAGTGGCCCCTGACGTGGGCTTCCTGACACATGACTGGGGTTGACTGCACCCCCTTCCAGTGCATTTGTTCTCTCCTTAGGAAAGTGGGAGTTCTAGAAAATTCATAGATCCAGTATAAAAGGAAAACATGTGTCCTCTTTTTAAAATGACTTCTTTGAAGACTACGGTATTCCTGACCCAAGCCATGGTAGTTTCATGGAAAGTTGGAAAATGAATAGGGATAACCGGAGAATGACAGCTTTTGAATTATGCTGTCGGTGAAACATGTCAGAAGAAGGAACAAAGGCATAAAAGTCCTTAGAAGTGAAGATGGGGGTGCAGTCCTCACCCCGCTAGCAAACATGGAGCTGCAAGCGGCGCCTGCTTGCTCTCTTGGCGGTCCGCGCGCCTACCCGGCGCGATGCAGGGGTCCAGGGTGGGCCGCCTTGAGGAAACTGCGCTCTGGCGGAGCTCTGCTCTCGGTGCGCAGGTTCACAGACAAACACGAATGGGTAACGCCAGAAAATGGGGTTAGAACAGCGGGGATCAGCCATTTTGCACAGGACGCGTTGGCAGATGTTGTTTACTGGAGTCTTCCTGAAGTTGGGACAGAGCTGAACAAACAGGATGAGTTTGGTGCTCTGGAAAGTGTGAACGCTGCTAGTGCACTCTACGCTCCTTGATCAGGAGCAGTCACAGAAATGAACGAAGGCTTGCAGAGCATCCCCGGCTTGTGAACAGAGCCTGTGATGAAGGGGGCGGGCTGGTCAAGATGCCGCTGACGAGTCCTTCAGAGCTTGATGAACTAATGAGTGCAGAGGCCCGTGAGAAATACATACAGTCCATCGAGGAGTGAAAATGGGACCCCTGAATAAACTACGATGAAACAACTCACGCCAGCAGCCTTGCCTTAAATTGGTGGTGGAAAGAACTGAAGTAGCTTTTAGCAGTACCGCTGGAACAGAGAAAGTACCCTTAACTTCCTAATGATGGCCGAGCAACACAATGCACACCTTTTCTCACCGTGGCCTGTGATTTTTATGTTAGGATCTAGTGATAATATCCAGAAGTCCTGAAATGAGCTGTGGTGAGAGTAGTCACAAAACAATGTCACTCAAAAGGTACATTGTTATCCTAAGCCTCCTAGAACATAGCTACTGCTGATATCCAGACCTGGGTTTGGGCCAGGATACTTAATTCTCTTCCTGCTGGAAATGACCAGGAGTGGAGATAAGTTTTTATTAGTTTTACAGTATCAGCTAAAGAACAATACAATTTTAAGTGTGCAATACACTTGCCTTTGCTGCTGCTATTTTAATACAATGAAGCAACAGCCTTACAGTGACGTAAGAAACCATTTACAAACAAACAAAAAAAAGAAACCATTTACTACAACCTTTAGCTTCTTAAAAAAAAAGTGAAGACAGCAAGACTTTGTTCCATGTCCTTGCTCATGCTGTTTATGAGGGGGACAAGTCCCCAGAGAAGGACACCTTGCTTGATACAGTAGAGGGTCAGGTAAAGAGAGGAAGACCCTCACCTAGACGCACTGACACATTGATTGCAACAATGAGTTCGAACACAGGACCGGTTGTGTGGATGGGGCTGGATTCAGTGTTTCTTGCTTTACATGAGAGCAGTTGGAATTGACAGCGATTAACAAGAACAATAATAATTTGTCAGACACCATCAAGAATTTCAAGACAGCAGCAGGAGAGTATTGAACCAAAATCATAGAACCCTTTTGAGCATGAAGCCCTGTGACTGAGGCTGACCTTGGCTCTAACCTTGAGTCTTTTCTCAGACTTTATTTAGGAATGTGTTAGGCAGTAATTTAGGGGAAGTGCTTTCGGAACAGCCAAGTGCTGAACTTGAAGACGGAAGAGTTTACGAGGTATGTTCACACCCTGCACTTTTCTCATTAGTTTGCTCAGCCGCAGTACTCTGTTAGAGACCTAGCAACAATTGTGCAGCTTCCTCTCACTTGGCTGTGGGTCTGGGTACCTTGAAAGAATTAGAGTCAAGGGACTCAGACCCACAGCCTTTGTGCCTCTGCCCTCAGGCCAAGCAGCTTTACTCCTCCAGTAGCCTGGGAAATCCCAGCGTTCCTTAGCAACAAGACTGAACCAGAGCTGTTGCTAGGGAAACCCTGGGATTTCCATAGCTACGGAGAGCCAGACAGCATCTCTGCAGCCACAGGTGACTATGTCTGGCGTCAGCAGATGAAGGGAAAGGAGCACTTCTCCCTTGCTCAGGTTGCACAGGGGCTAGAATTTCTCCTCCCGAATCTCTTTAGTTGCACCAAGAGGGGAAACACTGTTGCCAAGGGCACTCTTTAAGGGTAGTCCCTGCTCACACAGAAACCTCAAAGAAATGACTGGCCAGCTTGGAGTTGCTCAGTCTGCTGGGCTCCCGCTGTGTCCATGGACCCCATGACAGCAGTGCCCCACTGTGTGGTTGCTGTCCACTATTGCCTTTGACCCAGTCTGTGTCATGTACTGCTATATTCCCAGAAGCTAACACAGGGATATGTTTCTTGATCTTTTGATAATTTGGGGACACCTGTGGAGATCTTCTTAGAATAATCTTTTTGGTTTTTTGGGGAAATATTTTAATTGCTTTATAAATCCTGAAGTCCCACACAACCACTGGCTGGTTCAGCTGATATCACATATGCCTGGGTGATGGGGTACCTTCTCTCATTCGCCAGGAGCATTCTGGGATCACCAGGAGGTCCTCCTACCCAGAGGGCGTATGCATCAAGGATCTAAGGAACAGAGTAGGGGAACAGCAGGAGAACTAGGTGGTTTAGAGGTTCCGGGAGAGGTGGGCCCCGACCTACCGATGGAAGGAACAGTCAGAGACAGTCTGAAAGGAGTGGTCCCGATCTAGTCCCAAATTCAGAGCAGTAAAGCTGGATCCACTATGGCCCAGCTAAATGTTAGGTCTGGCCCCACCCTTGCTTGGCAGTGCCAGAGGGCCTCTTTCCAGTGACCACGAGACGGCAGCAGAAGCAGGCTTGGTCCATATTGCAGTACAGATATATGGACACGATCATGGCAGCCAGCTCCAGGCCCCCAATTCCAGCCGCCACACCAGCCATGGTGACCGCCTTGTTTCTGATGTCATGAAGAAGCTGTTTGAAACAACCCTCCACGTGATCGGTCTCGGCCTTCTCCCTGGTGCAGGGCACACTGGCTGTGTTGTTGCCCTTGCAACAGTAAGGGGGAAAGACATGGTATTCTTTGAAGTAGAGAGAGTCTGTGAAGTCCATGTAGTATTTGATGCCACAGCACTTGAGCCCTTCCATGGTGGTATTTCACACTTGGGACAAGTCCGACTGCTGACCACAGTCTTTCTTGATGGCAGGCACTACCAGCAATGTCAGGAATTCCTCAGTCATTGTGGTGTAGACGAAGGTGACCACAGCAGCTGCGACTTCAGCAATGAAGGTGATGAGGAGGAGGAGGATGGAGAAGAACATCATGAGGACACATTTGCCCTCCGTCTGAGCACCGTAGCAGCCCCAGAACCTGAGAGCAAGGAGCACAGCACCAGCTGCCATGAGGAAGTAGCTCACATTGACAAACTGCATGGTATGGGATGACAGTGGCTCAAAGATCTTCAGGAAGGAGGATCCATCCACCGATACCCAGATGCCCACAGTCAGCAAGACCACACCACACAGAAAGATGAGCAAATTGAAGAGGATCATCATGGTCTTAAGGAAGGTGAAGCACTGCATGGTGGCTCCTGTACAGGGATCTCGGTGGTGTGGATTCTGGAAGAGGAATCAACTGAGGTTCTGAACTGGACAAACAACTACAGGCAACCGCCGCTGAGTGGGCAAGAAGAGGACAGGGCTGGCTCGCACACACCACTCTAGAATCATCTTTTTGAATGGATGGAATAAAATATGCAGGATTACAAAGGAAAGCAAGTGTATTTAAATACATTTACCATAATAGGAAAAGATCAAGTCTGTGATATTGTGATACATATACATGTGCTCTTTGAAGAATAAGATCTAGCAGTGAGTCTAATAACTACTGTAGTTTGGAAGTGGTGATAAGTATAAGGTAGTTTCGATCCAGGGGTAGGGTAGGAAGGGAATTAATACTGGGAAATTATTGGACCAGCAAATTAACAAAGAAGCTGGGTCAGCACCCACTCTTTTTGTTATTGCTTCAGTTTCAACTCATAGAAAACCTATCTATGTACAACAGAATGAAATACTGCCCATTCCTGGGATTCCCTCACAATTATTCCTAGGTTTGAGCTCAATATTGCAGTCACTGTGCTGGTCCATCCTATTGAAGGCCTTCTTCTTTTTCGCTGCCTCTCTCTGCATGATGTTCCTTTCCGGAAACTGGTCAAATCTGTCTGGGAAGCAAAATGGGTGCATAAGCAAATGTGGTGAAGAAAGCTGATGGTGCTCGGCTATCAAAAGATATAGCATAGGGGCTGTCAAGCTGAGAAGCAACTGAGCCCATATGGAAGAAGCACACCAGCCTGTGTGATCATGAGGTGTTGATGGGATCAGGGATCAGGCATCAAAGACCCAGAACAAAAAATCATATCAGTGTGAATGAGGGGGAGCACAGAATGGAGACCCAAAGTCCATCTGTGGACAATTGGACATCCCCTTACAGAAGGGTCACAAGGAAGAGGGGAGCAAGTCAGGATGCAGTATAGCACCAATGAAACATACAACTTTCCTCTAGTTCTTTAATGCTTCCTACAGATCTAGCCAGACAAGAGCATGTACACGGGTACACATAAGAACTGGGAACACAGGGAATCCAGGACAAATAAACACCTCAGGACCAATATTGAGCCATACCAGGAGGGGGAAGGGAAGGTGGGAGGAGATTGGGGGAACCAATCACAATGATCTACATATAACCCTCTCCCAGGGGGACAGACAACAGAAAAGTGAGTGAAGGGGGACAGTGGTCAGTGTAAGACATGGAGAAAAAAGTGATAAGTGATCAAGGGTTCATGAGGGAGGGGGGAAATGAGGAGCTGATACCAAGGGCTCAAGTAGAAAGCAACTGTTTTGAGAATGATGATGGCAATATATATACAAATTTGCTTGACACGATGGATGTATAGATAGTGATAAGTGCTGTGCGAGCCCCCAATAAAACGATTTTTAAATATATGGGAACAAGTACAGCCAGAATGCTCCTTAGAAGTAAGGATGGCTAGACTTCATTTCATGTAGCGCACCCACTGTTCAAGCAGGTAGAAAAAGCTATAAAAGCGAAATCACTAGGTAGTTGGATCTCTCGAGTTTCTCTCCCAGGATGTCCAAGTGAACCTTTGTCAAGTGTACTGAAATTTTCCTATGCTTTGCTGCATGCTATGTCTCTTGGCTAATTCTTTCTCCCAAGAAGACTAAGAAAAGGTAAGAGCCAGCTTGGGACTCACTGTAAAGGATATTTGGAGAGTGCTGCCATTAAGATACATTGAGATGAAGATATCTGAAATTTCATTTGGTGATAATGTCACACATACTTCACATCTTTCTGAGGTTGGCTGCCTACATTCATAAGCCAAAATTCTAATGACATCTATTCATCTGGAAGTTATGGCTCTGCCACTGCCAGTGAATATTTCTGAAATTTAGATTCTTAAATTCTTAAATCGGCTGAGCATCTGCATAACCACTGAGGAGATGGGGCCCAGCTCCCTGGGTCTCTGGTTTCCCTTTGTGCAGCCTGGGGCTTTGTGCCCAGGCCAACAACTGCCAGGTCAGCATGGCAGAGACACTGGAATCAGGAGGTGAAATGCTCCCTGAATGATGGTCGGCTCTGGTTAAGCGGCCAAGACATCATCTTTAAGAACAGCCAGATGGGCAAAGTGGACAGCATCCAGGCTGGGGAGCTGACCAAAGGCATCTGGCACCAAGTTGCTGTGGCCATGGCCTTAAATTGCTCATCAGCAAGCGATGATCACATGGACGATGGCTTTTGGGAGTCGGCGTTTGAGAAACTCTGATTTCTTCACAACTCACTATTGCCTGGAGTTGATGGAAAAGGACCTGTGTGTGAAGGGCTGGAACTGGGGCCAGTGATGTTTGGCAGGCAGCTACTTTCCTTTGATGTTGGTGACCAGCTAGTCTTTGAGATCTTCCTCAGCAACGTGTCCCAGTGCCCCACTGTCAAGAGCGAGGTGCCGCCGGAGTGCCACCAGAATGATGCTGCTGAGGCCTCCCTCATGTAGGCGCACTTCTACGTGCCTCACCCTAGAAAGATGGTGTGACCCGTGGAGGCCTTTGCACAGAAGTGAGTGTCTGTGGCCGGACACCAGCAATGGCATCTGCATCTTCCGGGAGCTGCAGTGCCTGACTCCCCGAGGTGGGTATGGCATCCAAATTTACCCCACCTGTGTTAGGTCAGGTTGATGAGAGAAACAAATCCAGAGATACTCATATGCATGAAAGAGAGAGTTTTATATCAAAGATCAATTGTATAATGAGAAACACTCCAGCCCAGCGTAGATCAAGTCCATAAACCTGATATTACCTCACATGTCCCATGCTGGTCCATAAATTCCTTTTCAGACTCACACAGCACATGTAATGATGCCAAATACAGGAAGATCACAGGCCAGTGGATGAAAAGTCTTGTGGATCCAATGGTAGTAGAAGCATCACAGAGCTGACTCCTCTAGCTCTCTGAGGAAGGTGAAGCAGAGAGAGTGTGGCCCACCTCCAGGAAGAAAGAGGAAGTTCCCAGAATTCTCATGAGAAGGCCATGCCCACGGGGGTGGGTGGGGTGGGGGTGGGGGGTGGTTATCATCAAGCTGTGACCTGATTGACAGGCTAGATTCCACCCCTTCACACTTAATATTATCAAGTTAACAAGAGATTGTATAAGAACCATACCACCTTTCCCTACCTTTCCGCCTAGACTTGGATTATAAGTCCCCTACACCACCATTCTCTGCCTCTTCTTGCTGCCCACAAGGACCAGTGCCGGATGTTCTTCATGATCAACCCGGACCTTCCCATCAAGCAGGGTCAGACTAGTTACCACTTCCTGATCCTCCTCTTCTCCAAGAACCAGGACATGTCCTTGACTGTCAACATGAATGAGAAAGAGATGGAGAAGCGTTTTCAGGGTTGGCTCACCAAGAATGTGTCAGGTTCCCTCTATGAGATGGTTAGTGGTGTCATAAAAAGCCTAGTGAACCACAAAATCCCAGTCCCAGGTGACTTCCCGGGGAACTCTGGGGTCCAGTGCATCACCTGCTCCTACAAGGTGAGCTTGGGGCTGCTTCATATATGTGCACTGTGAATTGTGCACATCCACTATGACAGACTGCCTTCATCAACTCTGCCTGTGGCACATCCTCCATGCGCTCCTTTGACGTTGAGCTTGAGACCAAGTGGGACTCTCAGGTCACCTTCAGCAGCGTGGGGAGGGAGGAGGATGGGAAGGTGCCATGAAGCTCAGCATCAATAACCGAGGGCTTAAAGAGGGCAGGAACCCAAGCTACGCTGATTCAGAGGATGATCAGCATGAGGCCCACCTGGAACAAGGGGATGAAGGAGGTGGGCAAGAGCCAGGCAGAGAATGACAAACGCCTGCCGTGATGGCTCCAGAAAAGAGACTGATGAGTCATTCAACCCAGGTGAAGAGGAGGAAGATGTGGCTGGAGAGTTTGACAGTAATGCCTCTGCCAGCTCCTCCAGCAATGAGGGGGACAGCGACCAGGAAGAGAAGCAGCAGAAACAGCCCAAGAAGGCCAAAATCTCGCCAAGGATCACATGCATCGGGGAAAAAGCCTGTGGAGGTGCAGACTCACCACCTGGTAGGATAGCAGAGACCTGTGGGCTTTCCTGATGCAGGTGAGGAAGGGCCAAGGCCCCAGTGCCCCCAAGAGGTTCATGGCTATGTACATGCTGTGGTTCAATTCCAACTGGGAGAAGATCAAGTCGGAACACCTGGACATCAGCATCAGCGATCTCTCCAAGAAGGCGGGAGGAATCTGGAAAGGCATGCCCAAGGAGAAGAGAGAGGAGTGGGATCACAGGGCTGAGGAGGCCAGGAGGGGAGATGAGAAAGCCAAGAAAGAATATGAAGGGGGTTGGGGAGGGCCTTCTAAAGAGGGACAAGTCCAAGAAGAAGAAGAAAGTCAAGAGACAGTAGAAAAAAATCAATGCCTCGAGGGGGCTCATATTGAGTCATCCTCAAGGCAGCTGAGCGAGAGCTTCAAGAGCCAAGAATCTGTGTCTAGTGATGACAGCAGCGCGCATCAGGAGAAAATGGGACAAGAAGAGACGGCGATCGAGGACTCGGAGGAAGAGAAACCAGCCAACACTCCGCGCCCCAGCTCAGCGGACTCGGCGTCAGGCTTGGATGAGCAGCAAAGGGAAACCATCCCCTGCCTGTCCAGCCACATTGCTAATCTCCCCACTCATGGTTTGGTACCTATTTCTTCCCCATCACTTGGATTGGGGCCACCTGCCCAGGTCTCTTGGCAATATGCACTTTGCCAGGGCGGCTGGGGGGTGGGGGGTGGGGGGTGTGCTGCTTGCCCAGAGGGCTGCTTTCCATCTAGGCAGAGAGTGGGTGGGAAGCAGGGCAGCGCAGGCTCCAGACCCTCCACCCACAGCCCGACCTTGTAGGTGTGCTGTTCACGTGCACAGCAGGGGGCATGAGAAGCCCGGCCTGTGGCTCCTCACACAGGGCCCTACTTCTCCTTTCATTTTCAGTTTCTGGTCTGTGAAAATCATGTCATAATGGGAACTGACTTTAGGGGGCGA